ACTTCAGCCAGGTCAGATGCGCTTTCAACTGAAGCCTGCTACTAGATCACCTTAATGAAATCATGGAAATGCAGCGTAGTGGCAGTTTAACACACTTGCAAGTGGAAGGCTGCACTCCATGAATGAGGACTGCCATGGATCACACATATTCTTGTTTCCCTTGGACACTTTCCACCCAATCCAACTCAAACCGCTCCCCTTCCCTTCTCTTCTTGCAACCTGCAAGCCACATGAGACATCTAAAGCCGCAAGGAACCCAGTCTGACCTCGCAGCCAACCCTGCTGGGAGAAGGATCTTGGACCAAGTGACCTCCCAAGGTCCCTTCTGACCTAAGCAATCCTACGGTCCTCCATTGGAGGAAAGCAATGGAAAGGAAAAAAAAAAAAAAACAAACCCTAGAAGCAGCAATACACAACTGCATAGCATTAAAATCATGGGGGTTTTGTTAAAAATAAAAAGCATTTGTGGTAAAGACATACAGCTCTCACTTCACATATAAGACTTTTCCATAGGTATCTGTTACAGGATTCGTCCCCACAGAAAAAAAAAAAGCTACCATGATGACTAGCAGAGCCATAACTCCTGAAAATATTTTAAAAACAGATACAAAAATGAGTTCAATTCTAGAAATCACTGTTCAATACGCTTCCCTCCTGAATTTTGATATTTTGAGGTCATATGGTTTATTGAGTTTGGTTTTAAATGTTTAATTCCAAGACACGTAAGTTAAGACATTGACGCAATCACTGGAGTGAGAGGTACATCACACCATGGCGTTCAATCCGCCAAACACGGTAGCAAGATTTAATATTAAGAGAGTCACATAGAGAAAACAAAGACTATTCCATTTCCCTTTTTTCCTGTTATTATCCATTATCTGGCACAAGTTTCACATTTTTGGTTTACATAGTCTCAACTCTGAACACCTGTGCCTTCACATATATACCCACAGCCTATGGAAAAATTTGGCCTGTGTAAAAGAAAAATAAAGGACCATAAAAATAATCTCAATTCTAATGATCTGTAGACATCCCGTCAGCAGCATTTCATCCTTACAACTCCACTCCTAAGCTTTGTGATAATCCCAGCCATCTAACCTGAAAACACGGCATAATATTATTGCAGCAGGAAGCCCAAACAATTAACGAGCTTCCTCCCAGAGCAGGGAACTACCCAGACACAACCAAACTCTCTGATGATACTGCTTTTGTCCAAAGGAATGCTAGAGAAAAAGTCTCGAATTTGCAAACTTCAGCCGCGATCCTTTAAATATTTATGCTCATGTTTACTTTTTAGAGAAGAGAGAAATCCCATTCACTCAAGAGGAAGTTAAGCAAATGTAGGCACATAGGAGCCAAGCCTGAGAAAATAAGATGCTCTTTTTAACCTCAACACAAAAAAAACCCATCTTCTAAAGCTGAAACCTGCACCCAGCCCATCTTGGGGAGCCAGACTCTGGGACTAGGCTGGGAGCTTCATCAACTACATAACGAACGCACCTTCAACCTCAGGGCAACACGACAGCAGAACTACCCGTCTAAAACCAATGACGTTCCTTCCCACAGACAGCAGCTCTTCTCAGGCACTCGGTCTGCCTTCATACTTCTTGAGTATTTCGCGTGCAAGTGGGACCGCAATCCCATTTATTTATAAACCAACGGGACACAGGAATTTCTGAAATGAAATCAAGTTTGAGCAGCTAAGACGCTTCAAACGGCTCAACGACCTTGTTTTCTTCCTAATAAATGTATTTTTAAAGGAATTACATTCAAAAGCTGCACGGTTTGGAGCGAGAACTAGAATTTGGCAGAAAATGCCCACACTATGCCCACCAAAAACAACCACCCCAAATGGCCTTAGAAACTCTCGGATCACATTTCCTCACAGTTTTGCTAGACTCGAGGTATTTAAGGCTTCAGGACTACGTGGTGTGCTTGGTCCCAAGGGTGTGATGATGAGCCCCAGTCTTCCTCACCAGCTGCCCGGTGGTGCCAAGCTGCAAAACCAGTGGAGGGACCAGCACCGTCCCTGTGCTCCCAGTACTCCCCCTGTTGACTTGCAGGAGATGCGGAGGAGCAATCCGTTCTTCCATCCAGAGCTGGATACCGTCCTTTCAGAAATCAAGTGGCGTACATGGGTGATTAGGATTTCTAGTACAACCCTACCTCAAAACGAGCTAAATTAAGGTTGTGCAGGTAACCTCAGGTTTCACATTTCCTGAGCGCCTGACCTCGCATGCTTCACATTCTCAGAGGTTTTCTTGCAAATGTGATGAACACTCGCTAAAATCACCATGAACATCCTAGATAAAAATAATTTAGGCATAAAACATTTAGACAGTTAGACTTTCCTAGCAAAGGATCCCAGAAGTTTGCTAGTCTGAGTTTTAGATGGCATATGTAAGTGCCGGTGTTTGTGAAAGATATTGCAACAGCAGATGCCACATCAGCCATTTGATACCTTTAAATCTGGAAATGCAGCTTCCCCACCCCCAAAAAAAAAAAAGGGTAAAACCATGAACTTTAGAAATGGTAACTGGAGCTGCGGAGGCACAAAAGAAAAAACTCTGAGGCATGTTCTGCAAAACTGAGCCTGCATTTTAATACTTTTATAAAAAATAAAGTGAATCGGGGAATTCAAATAAAGCTTTTTTCAGATTTTTCAGAGTTGCCACTGATGGACCATAGGCCTTTCAATAAAGATGAAACATCTTTAAAGCCATCCTGATTTATATATTGATTGCAATAAATAAATAAATAAATATAAAGTTGCATCATCATGGGTAGCCCAGGAAACAAAAGCTTATTAGTCGTGCGCAGGGCTGCTGAATTACCTTCCCTGCTGTCAGCAGCCGGACTGACAGCTTCCAAAACAGTCTTGGGGATGAAAAATCATGGCAAGGAGTGAGAGCAAAGGCTGGGAGAGCCTTCACAAGGGAAAAATGCAAAGAAAATCCTCTTAATCTAATTTAAAAAATTTTAAAAAAATAAGAAAAGTCACTGAAATGGATGAGTTTACTCAAAGACATAGGGGAAATCATGATTATCGCGTGACTCCAGGACGATGGGCTGAAGGGAAGATGCTCTTCAGTGATAACGCAGCCTCTCCGACCTCAGAGTTTGCGGGCACCTGCGGTTAAGCTCAGCTCCGTAAGGTTGTGCTTAAGCATTCACAGCCCATCACCACCGCATCCATGCACATCTCATCAGGAGAGACGAGAAGACGATGGTCCCCTGTCATTTCCTAGCACTCCCCTGGGAAAAGAGTCGGGAAAACACTCAAGCTGTCCAGAAACCCATTTCTCCAACTAATAATCTACTTACGAAGCTATTTATTAAAGCGCTTTGTTACTGATTTAGCAAAACGCCACACTGTTTTTTCTCCCTGTAGCAGCGCTCTCCTCCTTCCTTTGCCGCTACGTGATTTTTTTTTATATTCCGATGGGCAGGGTAACGCGCGCTGCAGCGAAGGATGTGAAAGCCATGATTTCTGCTGAGCTCACGCTCCCGACTTTATTAATCTCAGCTTGATTTCAGGATATGAAAACGTAAATGGAGGAGGAGGAAGCCAATCTATAAGCAGAAGGGCGGCAAAACGGCTGGCTCTGAAGTTATGGCAGGTCCTACCACGAGTCACGTCGGATGATTTGGGGGGGGGGGGGGGGGGGGGGGGGGGGGGGGGGGAGGGGGAATATAAAGCAAAGGCCGTTTCAGCTACATTTAGGAAAATTCCAGAAAGAAATATCGACTATTTTAACCTTTGGAGGAGCAGTGCTCCCGTAAAGGTCCAGTGTGCCAGGGAGCGAGCTGCTGTGGAGTCAAACACCACGTTAAAAACCAGAAATATCTCACTGAGGCAGGGTGGGAATCGTTAACGCGGCTCTCGTGTAGCAGCGTAACGGGCTGCTCCTTTGCCAAAGACGACGACGACGGTGCCGACCGCGACCCGGTCCCTGGTCCCATCACAATGCCTGGCGTCGGGGCTGTCTCCCCACTCGGGGTGGGAGGGTTGTTGTGGGGATGCCGCCAGCCCACGGACCCACTGGCGGCACTGGAAACACGAAGGGAGATAAACACTTCCCCCCCACCCACCCCCACGGCTGGTTTTTTCACGTCTTGCGTGTCCAACCCGCCCCAGGATGGGTGTAAACGGCAGCATATTGGCACCAGGGGATTAAAAAACAGCAGCACCGTTGCCACCCTTCACGTTCCCACGCGTGGGGAAGCCCACGGGAGGGAGGGGGACGCCCGCGAACAGGACCCGGCTGCCGAGGAGCCGTCA